GGGAAAGAGAAATCTAGAAGGTCTCTTGTCAGCAGTGAAATCTTCCACCAACATTCCACTCATAACTCCTAACTTTCTAAAACATGTTACATGGCTTCACCCAGCTAGAGGAACTGAGGAAGTGCAACCCTACCATATATCTGGAAGTCAGAAAGCCAGAAATATCCGTTGACCTGACAGCATTATTAGTGTGAGCCACAGGCTGTAGGAGGAGGAGTGGGGGTGGGGGGTGGGCAGTGGCCCCTGCCATCGTCTCTGAGGAGGGTTGGGCAGCAGGGCAAGGAATGAGACGAGGAAATTGGTCATTACTCATTACTTCTGAACCAAACTTGTTTTTACCCCAATACTATTATCTGGCCTTAGCAGTCTAGGCTCTAAGTGTCTTCTGATTGTGACAATTAAATTTACCCTTAGAGAAGTAAAAGTTGCACCCGTGAAAATGTTAAAAAATCCAAAGGAAATTCCACAGAAGAAAAATTAGAAATGTTCCAAGCAATGTCAGCATCCCTGGAGTTGGTGTCCAACCTCACGTAGCTCCTGCGCTGAGCAGACAGTTTTGACTTTGGCCTTAAGCTCTGTGTGTGCTTGTTAAAGATCTTCACATTCCTACAGGATGTTGTGGTCTTGACTGGTCAGACATGAACAAGCATGAAGTGCATTTCTATATCTGATTTTACAATTAAGGAATTTGGACATGGCCCTCCCCCTTTTATTCTTTTACCATTGGGATATGTGTATATCTACTCATCTTGGGCTTTATTTAACCCTTTGTGCCAGGTACAAAACATAGCATTGGCACATAGTAGTTGCTCAGGGAATCTAAGTCTCTGGCACTTGTGTTAAAGTGTGTGGTCTGGGAAGGCAGCCCATAGATTCATTTGACTACTCAGATATGGGATCTGGCTCGATGTGGTAGGGCCCAGAGCTGTGCCCCAGCTTCTGAGGAAGTTCCGGTCATCTTGTTTACAGAGGGAATGCCTTCAGTTTTGGGGATCAGCCACTGCCTTTCCATCAGCCCCCTGCTTCTCCAACCCTTTGTTCTTTGCACCCCGAGTTTACCACTCCTCCCTTCTACCGTGCCTGGCCCACCTTCATTTGTGATACTGTATGATACTGCCTTGTTTACATCCCAGAATACTAGCTTACAGTAACAAGAGTAGCTGCCATTTACTGAATGGCCATTGATAAGTGCTTTCCATAGTACCTCCTGTTCTCAAAACAACTCTGTAAGGTAAGTTCTATTATTCCCAATTTATTAAGGAGGAAACTGAGTCTCGGTGAGGTCATATAGCTTCTCTGGTTTTTAATTTGCATCTGCTTGACCCCCAAACCTGAACTTCCCTACTATACTGGGCTGCTTCCCTATCTTTCTTTATGTTATTCAGTATAAGATGCCTCCATTCCCCTCCCCATCCCAGGTTTGGTGGTTTTATCTGTTGTCCTCATGTTTTGAGTAATATCAAAATTGAAGCATCCAAATTGAGGATATGCCATTTTATTGTGTCTCACTAACACATCTCTATTAATTTGATGATTCTATCATTCATCCTTTTTTTGAGAATATTTATTTGGTTGCGCTGGGTCTCAGTTGCAGCAGGCGGGCTCCTTAGTTGCGGCTCACCAGCTCCTTCGTTGCGGCACATGGGCTCCTTAGTTGCAGCATGCGAACTCTTAGGTGTGGCATGCATGTGGGATCTAGTTCCCTGACCAGGGATTGAACCCGGGCCCCCTGCATTGGGAGCATGGAGTCTTAACCACTGTGCCACCAGGGAAGTCCCCTATCATTCATGTTTGTGAAGATCTTTCCACGTCTGTTGTGTAACAGCACTCTTTTTTTTTTGGATTAAGTTGGAATAATTTTTGCCATATTTGAGCTGAAAAAGAGCACAGTGTTATTGCCCTTGTGAGTCTGTTCTGCACACTTTTGAAGAATTGCCTCTCTTCTCCACCATGTAGTTTGAAAGCTTAAGCTGTTGGGATCTTGCCAATTCTGACTTCTAGACAGTTTCTCTTTCTGCTTGTTGGTGCTTGTACATCACAGAGTTGTGAATGCCTTTCATGGTTTTCACATTTACCTTTTCATCACTACACCTCAATGATGGCACTTAGGATACATTCCAGACACTCAGTTAAGATCTAGAGGGTTTTGCACCATGAAGTCACTGAAGTGATGCTGAAGGTGGGGTGTTAGCATTTGTGAGGGTTGAGCCAATGCCAGTCAAGATTGCTGAGATGGCCAACAGGCACATGAAAAGATGCTCAACATCGCTAATTTTTAGAGAAATGCAAATCAAAACTACAATGACTTATCACCTCACACTGGTCAGAATGGCCACCATCAAAAAACCTACAAATAATTAATGCTGGAGAGGGTGTGGAGAAAAAGGAACCCTCCTACATTGTTGGTGGGAATGTAAATTGGTGCAGCCACTATGGAAAACAGTATGGAGGTTTCTTAAAAAACTAAAATAGAATTGCCATATGATCCAGCAATCCCACTCCTGGGCATATATCTGGAGAAAACTCTAGTTGGAAAAGATATATGCACCCCAATGTTTACAGCAGCACTATTTACAATAGCCAAGACATGGAAGCAACCTAAATGTCCAGCAACAGATGAATGGATAAAGAAGATGTGGTATATATGTACAATGGAATATTACTCAGCCATAAAAAAGAATGAAATAATGCCATTTGCAGCAACTTGGATGGACCTGGAGATCGTCATACTAAGTGAAGTTAGTCAGACAGAGAAAAGCAAATATATGATATCACTTACATATGGAATCTAAAAAAAAATGATTTAAATGAACTTATTTACAAAAAAGAAATAGACTCACAGGCAGAGGAAACAAACTTATGGCTACCAAAGGGGAAGGGCAGTGGTGGGGGGGAGATAAATTTGGAATTTGGGATTAACAGTTACATAGTACTATATATAAAATAGATAAACAACAAGGCCCTACTGTATAGCACAGGGAATTATATTCAGTACCTTGTATATATAACCTATAATGAAAAAGAGTCTGACAAAGAATACATATATTTTTATATATATGTATGTCTGTGTGTGTGTATATATATATGTGTATACACACACACACACACACACACACACACACACACACACATATGAAAAAAAAAGATTTCTGAGAAGCCTCGACTGTCCAGTAATTGTTGTTGCTGCTTACTCCTGGGAGGTGATGAGGAAGGAGTCGTCCCATGGGCTGCACTGGAGCAAAATGTTTGATGGCTTTGTCTGTCTTTCCCTAGGCACAGGGTCAGGAGCTCACACAAGCCAGTCCAGGCTTTGGAAGCTGAAGCTCATGGACGTAACAGGTTTTGCACTGGAGGAGCGCGTACCTTCTGTGACATGGAGCACAGACAGGGAGCGCGCCCCATGTGGGCCATCCCTACGCTTGAGCCCGAGTGGAGACCCCAAGCGCTAGCTTAGGAGATGGGCTGGGACACATGGCTGTGTCCCCCATGGCTTTCCAGGACAGTGAAGAATATTTTAATCCCTTTTGCTCGTGAGTCATAGGGATATTCAAGACCCTAACACAAACTTCAAAGAGCTCTAAGCATGTTTTCTAAGTCCTTTTTGGATAATAAGGCAATATTTGTGATGTCCACAGAAAGAAAATTCACCAGTAGAGATCTGAACTAAAATTACTTGTGCTCATCAGCAATTTGTGAAGGCGCAGAGCGCTTGTTCTGAAAATAGAACAAAAACACACATCCAGTCTGTTCTTAGCTCTTCTGGTTAATCATACTCTGAGAAAGCCTGGGTTGCTGTTCAGGTCCTTTGAGGGTAAGCAACAGAGATGTCTGTAAAAGAAACATCATTTACTGAATAGCCTCCCTGTTTCAACTCGTTAAGCTCACATCTTATTTTCTTTGACCAATAGATGCCCCTGATAAAGCAAATATAAAATGACCTTACAGTATAGGGGAGGTGAGAGAAGGGAGATAGAGGTTCCAAGAGAAACCCCTCTTTTGGAGCCCCACTTGCTTTTCAGAGCATTGAAGAACATTTTAGAAAAGTTTTATTTGGAGACCCAGCTATAAAACTTAGAATAGTAAATGTACCTCATTGACTGTTCTGGCATCTACGCATATATTTTTACCCACAACGTTCTCAAAGGGAAATGACCTCCTGGTGACCTCATCAACTGTGTGGGAACCCACCTGGAGAGGTTACCTGGGGTCCTGAACTAGCAAAGCCTATTTCTTTTGGGTTGATTCTGGCATCAGAGTTAGCTCCTCTTTTGATGGCTTCATTTTTCCTCTGCAATAAATGGTTGACAGTAACACCCATCATTCTGTAAAGGACAGTTTTTGAAATGACAGCTAAAGCCTGTGAGAAAGTGAGAATTTTTATGACTTATCACTGAAAACTTAGATTATCTCAGAAAACTGAAAAATAGCTTTGGAGAGAAGATAGAAAAGTTTGGTGACCAAGCAAATTAAGATTATTTTCCGGAATCTATTACTTGGTATATTGGAAATTGGATATCATGTACAAAGCTACATAAAAGAGTATTTTTTTCTCTTGCAAGGATAATATCACAGTGCTTCATAAAATGAGTATAAATAAGAAAATATCCTGGCCCCAAAACTCAAGCAAGACAGACCATCTTCATTTTGAAGGAATCCCTGGCATTCCTTGTCCATATGAGGACCTGCATATTCTCC